AAATGGGCATTTGGGTCAATGGGAGAACCGGGGGAGCCGGCTACGGGGGCAAGCGGGCCATGGGACCCGGGCCCCCAGAACTCCAGGAACTCCAACGGTGCGTCCACCACGGGGCTGTCACCGCGAGAGGCCCAGAAGAGGTCGTTGTCTGGGCCATTCTCCTTCATCGCAGCGAAAGCATCCACTCTATGCTGCTTCTTTGCTACGGGCAGGCAAGCACAGAAGGGGCAAGCAGCCTGGGAGGAAAGAATCTCTTCAGGACTGCGCATGCGCGAAGGATAAACCCAATAGCAACAGCTCTTAGAGGGCGAAGCCTATACGAAATGGAACGTGTCCACACAAAAGGATAAAACTAAGCAGACCCACAGTGAATGTTGCTGGAGACGTTCTACCTTGTGTGCTGTGTCCTGACAGATGTTCATATTTCTCTGAATGCTAGTTCAGAGGAGCCGAGCATTCCCCCACTGCTCCTCAGAGGAGCCGAGTGTTACCCCGGCGCTCTTCAAAGGAGCCGAACCTTCCCCCAGCGCTCTTCAGAGGAGCCGTACTTTCCCACGGCACTCCACAGAGGAGTTGATTTTCTCTCAACAGCCTGTCTCAGAAGAGGAGTCTGATGTGGGGTGTTTGTGCCTGAGACCTCGTCCATCAGCGTTAACAAGCGAGTCGGGGCCATCGCCTCTTAGCTTTGGAAATGGTTTGACTGTGTAAATGAGTCTCATTCTTCACACTGACAGCCACTTAATGCACCCATAAACATCAGTGGGCTATAATAAAGAGTGGTACAGATACTGCTCATTGTCCCCTCGCAGACAAAGACATGATCATATTTGCACTGATTAACTACTAAAGTGTGATCAGGTTTTTTTTGGTCATCTGATTAATTAAACCACAGGTGGGTCACGGGATGATGGACACATCTCATACCAGGTGAGCGAGCAGTCAGTTAAACTTCCTGCATCAGTACGTGATCAATTAATAGAAGTGATCAGCCCCTATCTGGTGACGTCATTGATATATTTATTAAACACAGTTGGAGGGAGTTTACTTTTGAATTGTCATTTTTGTGAATATTAAACATGAGTGGACACAACAACGTGTGTGGTCCTTTTCAACCCAGTATCGAGTTTTAGCTTAAAGCAAAGTCAAAATATATTGTACGGTGCCTTGAGCAGGCTAGAGTCCCACGATTTTAGATCAGGACCACTCTCAGGTTGCTGAACCAAATAGCTGTATTACTGCCATTCAGATAAAGTTTTGTGGCGTCGTCCAGCCAGTGACTATACCGTTTCCCTTTGTAGACCTCAAAGGCAGATTAATTTGCAAATTGTCTGCATAGTGATAGAAGGTGAGATTGTGCTGACCTAGAGGGGCGCATATTGTAGTATATGGATCTATTTTTCCTAGCACAGTAATACCCCTGTGTCTATTGACTGATGTTGTATACACGCATTGTAATGTCTCTAAGTAAAAGAAAGCAGTAAAAAGTTCCCTTGTAAAAACGGCAACCTCCGAGTTCGTGTATTATTGTATTTCTTGTTGTACAAACACAACAAATTGGCGATGAGTACAAACCGAGACGTGGGCGACAGGTCACCAACTGCATTGACAGTTGAGGGAGATGCCAGCGGAGCTCGGAGGACAGGGGAGACCAAGAGAAGACATTGAACCAGCATGGCGGGTAATCAGCATGGCTAGCAAAGGGAGGCGTGAGTGCTGCTGCACAACCAGCAAGCTGAGCTAAGCTAAGTGACTGTTATTGGCAAAGTGACCTAACAGAACATATCGGGAACATGGCGTGTGTCTGGAAAATAGGCGAATTTGACAGTGCAAATGAGGACTAGGAGTCATATATTGAAAGTGTTGAACTGTACTGTGCTGCAAACAATGTGGAGGGGGATAAGAAAGTCCCCACACTGCTCAGTTTAATGGGTGCTAAAACCTACCACCTGCTACGGAACTTGCTAGCTCCAACAAAGCCTGGCACACAAACATTCCAAAGCATTGTGAATTCATTAAAAAGCCACCTGAGCCCCAAACCGCTTGTAATAGCAGAAAGCTTTCGTTTTCACAATAGAAACCAGTCTAAAGACGAAAGCATCTCAGAATATATAGCTGAACTGCGTAAACTTACTCAGTTCTGTGAATTTGGGGATGGACTTTCCGATGCACTGCGTGACAGATTGGTTTGTGGCATGCATTGTCAAAGCACACAAAAAAGGCTACTGTCAGAAAAGGATCTTACACTGGAAAAAGCATTGGCTATTGCAGTGTCAATGGAGACAGCAGCCAGGGATGATATGGAGCTACAGAAAAAGGCTGTGGACAGTGGTATGCATAAAATGTGAGTGAATAATGGAAAAAGGCAAAAGTGTTACAGATGCGGAAAAACATCACACCATGCAAATGACTGCTGGTTCAAGGACAAAAACTGCAGGAAATGTAACAAACCAGGGCACATGGAGTGTGCAGACAAAAGTCAGACAGCAAGCATACCCAAAAGGAGAAATCGCATGGGGATAAACATTTTAAGCACAAAGCTAAAAATGTACACAATGTCACTAATTGTGGATGTGAATCAGAAAGTGGGGGCAGCACAGTGGTGCAGCGGTTAGCACCGTTGCCTCACAGTGAGAAGGTTCCGGGTTTGGGCCCCACCTGGGACCTTTCTGTGTGGAGTTTGCATGTTCTCACCGTGCTTGCGTGGGTTCTCTCCGGGTACTCCGGCTTCCTCCTACAGTCTAAAGACATGCAGCTTAGGTTGATTGGTTTCTCTAAAATGTGTGTGGTTGTTCGTCTATGTGTTAGCCCTGCGATAGATTGGCGACCTGTCCAGGGTGTACCCCGCCTTCACCCGATTGGCAGCCGGGATTGGCTCCGGCCCCACCCGTGACCCCATTCAGGGACTAAGCGGTAGAAAATGAATGAATGAATAATAATTCTGTTATATAGGCTGTGACAGTGTTATAGCGTTGACACCTTCTCCGGCGTCTTTAGTGACAATGGTGAAGGTAGCCGGTTTGTTCACGGTGCCGTGGCTCAGACCAGGACCGTACGCTGTCACATGGCCACTGTTAATGGCATCCACATAGAACTGGAGTGGGCTTCCTGGAATAAAGAAGAAAATCTGCATGAGTGCAATGTTTCCCAAAGCCATTAGAGTGCAAATATCTCTAACTCAGTTTGCAGAATATGAAATGCTGGCATAGTTAGACAAGGTTAGAGCAGTGTCAGATCAAAGCCGCAGTAAAGCTGGTGATGCCCCACTGTTTCCTTCAAAAGGCGGTGAGTTTATCCATCATGCTGGAGAGGAGCATAGGAAGTAAACCAAACATAAAATAAATACATGTTAGGGATTTTGGGGGGGTTACCTGGGATGTGGCTGCCATCGTACTTGATGTCCATCTCGTGCAGACCTCGTTCACTCGGTGAGTACTTCACAGTAACCGTGCCGTCCTTGTTGTCAGTGATGTGAGGACAGGCGGTGCAATCAGATGGCATTCGCACCTCACCTGGAGAGCAAATCACTGTCTTAACTCATCATGGCTCCCACTGTGCTGTGGTCCTGCTGGCAACATTTGGTTTTTCAAGCCCTAAACATGTTATTTGTCCCTGTGTTTATGCAATATTTTAAATCCTAGGGTTAGGATTAGGGATCCAACCCTACAATGAACGCTGCTTACAGAGGAAGAAGCACTGGACATGCAGCTCAGGTTGACTGGTGACTCTAAATTGCCCATAGGAGCGAGTGTGGGTGTGTGTGGCTGTCTTTAAGTGTCAGCCCTGTGACAGACTGGAGACCTGTCCAGAGTGGACCCCACCTCTTGCCCAGTGTCAGCTGGGATTGGCTCCAGTCCCCCCCACAACCCTGTTCTTTATAAGCGGTGTAGATAATGGATGGATGGATGCAGTTAAGATAAAAAAGTGAAACTATGGCTTCAAATTTTCTGTTGTAGCACAAAATGTTAAGCATGTGAACAGCTGGCTTTTATTTGTGCCTAATTTAAAACCATGTGGAGAAAACAGCAATGGAAACAGTTTTTTAATGTGACGAGCTCCGTGCTCTCAGACCTGCTGCTGCGTTCAACCATGAGCACATATTAACAGGAGATATTCAACACGGCTGCTGACGCCAACAGTCAACGTTAGCTGCCAGAGATTAGCAGTGAGATAAACAAGGCCTGCTCTTACCTGTGATCTCTCCTTTCTGCACTGTGAAGGGAATAACCAGACTGAAGGGGCGGAGCGCGGGCTCCATCCCATTCACAGGGCTGATGGGTTCATCTGTGGCCTAAACCAGAGCAAGAGGGGAGGGGTGTTAGCATCGCCATAGTGGGAACTCTGGGAAATCAGGCCAAAACAGGAAGGAGGAGGAGGAAGCAGAGAAGGACTGCAGAGACCAGTCTGTGGCGAGCTAGACCAGTTTGTTCTGAGACTGAAACCAGTTCCACAAATGGTAACTGTTCAGTAAAGTCAGCTGGTGCATAAACATGTTTAATACAGTACACAGTCCTTCAAAAACAAAGAAAACAATGAATCATAAAATAAAAAGGATTACTAAATACAAAGCAGCAAATAAAGAAGCAGCAGATCAAACATGCAGCACCAAGCTGGGATGGTATCAACTTTCTGAAAAGCTCTGATACAACGGCAACTGCTGCATGAAGAGCAGGATGTTGCACCCACAGAATGCATTACTGCAGACAGGAGTAAAATGGGACTGGTCTGAGAAATGTGAAAAGTCATTTGAGGAAACAAAAAGATTGATCGCATCAGATGAACTGCTTACTCATTATGACACAATGTCACTAATTGTGGATGTGAATCAGAAAGTGGGGGCAGCACAGTGGTGCAGCGGTTAGCACCGTTGCCTCACAGTGGCATTGGTTGTGTCTTGTCACACATCATGACAGATGGATCTGAGCGTCCAATCGCATTTGCTTCGAGGTCACTGATGAGCGCAGAACGTAATTACACCTAGATTGATCGAGAGGCCCTTAGCCTAGTATGGGGTACCTAAAAAGTTCCATCATTACCTCTACGGGCAAAGGTTCACCCTTGTAACAGACCACCAACCCCTTGTATCAATTTTTACTCCCCAGAAGGGAATCCCGGTGATGTCAGCGACTTCCTTGCAGCGTTGGGCACTTTTCTTAGGAGCTCACTCTTACGAAATTGAGTTCAAAGGTACCAAGCAACAC